TTTCTACAAGAGTAAGTATTGCTAGATATAACCCACATAAGCTATTTTGGGTCCTTAAAAATTTATAAGTATATAAAGAGTTCCTGAGACCATTAAATTTGAGAATTGCCAGATTTGACCATAATGTTGAGACAATGATTTGCTTAGTATTCCCCAGATAGGGCAATTAACTTTGTACAAAAGAAAACTTCTGATGTCACTAATTCTTTGCTTTCCAAACACTTTGGCACTTGTTGACTCTACATATAGAACCCATAAATTTCTATTTGTCATTAACAATTGAACAGATGTTGATATACCAATGTTGATGTAATTTCAGACAAAAGCAAAGAAATTTAGTATTTAAAGTAGTCTTACTGATTTTGTTTAGCTCTTCAAAATAGTAGAAAATAATCTGTGGGTTCCACTTAGTGTTTTTATCTTGGCTAGAATTTTCACAACTTCACAAGATTCTCCAGACTTGGGAGCCTCAGGTTTCGAACCAATGAACTAACCATATCACATAATCACGCTGGTGTTCACAAAGGAAAATAGTGACAATGTGGAATCATTTGTACAAACTAATATGACTAAGAAAAAATCTCAGAGGGAATATAGATACTAGACCTGATACTAGATCAATAATGCCATTTTTATATGTAAAGGAAATCACACTGCCTTTCAGACATACATACTGAAACTGTGAATGAAGAAAATCATTTATTCTGTATCCAGAAGAATCTAAATTCATTTGCTCAAAGGAAAATAATAGAAACCTATAGTGAAATCATAATTCTGCATTTTGTTTGAATAGAAGATTAGGCATTAGTGTATTAAATGAACACACCCTTAATATTAAGGTTATTTCAATACATATACTTTTTAGTCATTTCATAAACTTTAGTTTTAGATAGATAGTATTTATATTTTCTTCCTGAGAGGAAAAAATAAACTTGTTTCTTAGTCTGGGCACAAAATTCTATTCTAATCTCTAAGGTACAGGGGATATGTAACAATAGACTACACTTATTTTTTAAAGTCAAACTTCAGATGCTTAGGCAACAAAAAGATACTTAAATTGGTCTTTAAAAATTATTCCCTATTTTAACAACATCTACTGGGATGGTGAACTGATTGAAAGTTTGGATTTCTTCCCCCCTTTTTTGCTCTGGTCATTATTCTTTACCTCATGCTTCTTGATTTCAAACAGAGATGTTACTGACTTTTATAATGGAAAAATCGGTATTCATATAAATTGTGAGTCATGTTTACTTTACAAGAGAATTTTTCTGTTATAGAATTTTTCTTTTAGCAAACATTTTTTGGGAGACAACCACCATGTTAGAATTTAAGTCTTCTAAATATTGCCCACTACTATTGAAATAGAATCTACATACTATTTGACATTTTTGGCTAAGCCACTGTTTTACTTAGGGCAATGAAAGATTAAAATCTCGTTTGTTCTTACAAGATACTTCACAGTGTCATAAAGCAAGTGGAGTAAAAATCATTTGTCATTTCAGACAGATTTAATTAAAACAAAATAACTGATATAAAAGAGAAATAATTTTTTCCCCACATACAATAAAATATTATCTCATTTCAGCAAATAAATATTTGTTGGAAACAAAGCCATTTAATAAAGAATTGTTTAGAAAAGATAATACATGGTTATCTTTACTAGATTTTGTACTAAAAAGGAAATCCAAATGGTATATGGTATACCTTTTGGTATATACCAAAAGGTAAATCCAAATGGTATAGATCTTGTCTGGTATATTTTATAGATCTTGTCCTCAATACAGCTGATAATTAAAAAAAATAAAAGGATAATCTATGATATGATACGGTATTATAGTGTAGTAAACATATAAAATATGAACCTAAAATAATGTTTGATATTATAGTTGTTGGTCTAAAAGAAAACAGATGCACACATAAGTCCTTTAGCTTAAATACTGACCAGCTGATAAAAAGCTACAGACAGAAAGGTTGGAACTACTAGCTTTTAATCATAATTTGTTTATTTAGCTGTTTTATATTTTTACAAAGACTAGGTTAATTGCTTCTGATGGTTATTCCCAAAGTATTCTGTCCTCTGGTGATAAATCATAGCACTTATACTTTATTATAATTTGTAATTGCCTGTTTGTCTGTTTGTAATGGTAAGAACAATATCTAGTTGCTCACCACTGCTTCCCCAGAACCAGGAAAAGACTCATTTAATAAATTAATAAACCCTGTTGGGGAGGCAAAGATTACATTTACTCACAGATCCAAAGCTCAGAAAAGCTGAGCAACTTGCTTAAGGTAGTGTGGTTATTAAGCAGAGAAGCCAGCATTTGAATCTATATCTTCTACTATCAAGTGTTTTTTCTACTGCTGATCATTCAAGACTGTACTATATTTCTCATGTAAAGAAAATGTATTTGCACATATATTTTTGCACATGACAGACTGCATGTCTAACCTGAAACATAGAAGAGGGATTTCTATGAGGTTTAGTGAACACTATTAGGTACTAAATTATAAATATCAGCACCAAGATGCAGTAACAGTAACAGTAACAATGTCAAACTCACTAGTGTTCTAATTTTATGCTGGCTGTCATTCATGGGATGTCTCATATATATCTCAGATTGAAGACGTTCAAAACCAAATGTATTAATTCCTTTTACCTTCAAAATGTGTTTCTTCTCTTATTATTCCTTAATATAGTTAATAACATCATTTACCCACATCTCAAATGAGAAGACCGGCTTTCTGACTTTTCTGCCCTAAATATTCTATGCATTTTTAAAATAAACAATTCACCTAGTATTATGTGCTAAAACCTATGGCCTTGTAATTTGACTCAGTAGGCAAAGACAAAAAGTCATTATTTAAAATACATAGAACTAATAGCTGAAGTTGGATTTTGAAGTCACTGAATTAAGACTTTCATGTACTAAGGATGTTTTAGTCTGAGAGTTCCTGATTGGTGATAATTGGCTGGTGACAGCCACCTTTAAAATGGTCATTATTGTTGAATTTTGTTTTGTTTTTATATATCCTTTTTGTCCCTGGTGAAATGTTCTCCTTAGAGACGTCTTCTCTGGTAATCCTATTTAAGTAAGGTTTCCCTCCTATTATTTTCTATCAATGTAACTTTTCATTTCTGCTTAGCAAGAATTTCAATTTATAATTATTAAGTTACAGTAAAATTATGATTATCAGAATAATTTACATTTATCTTAATATTTATTTTAATATACATTAATTAAACTGTAAACTCCATGGGTGCAGTGACTATATGTCACTGATATAAAAGCAAATATAAGAATATTTAGTTTAGATTTTAATTAAACAGTCTTATAATTTGAGACTTTCAATAGATTAATTTGACTTTTTTATTTTTAGGACTTCACTTTAGTAAATTTGCAATGCCAAATTATTTTAAAATTGTATTTAATGTTCTCTTTGTAATTAGGATATAAAGTTTTAAAAAGGCTCAAGAACTACTATGTATAACTGAATTTAGCTTAAAATATGTATAAATGTTCATAGTATATTATTAAGGAAAAGAATACTGCATCTTGAACAGTTCTGCATTCCCAACATTTAGGTCTTAATATTTGACTAAACATTTATAGTGGACTTAAGTTTTAGCATTATTTTCTAGACTTCATAAATGAGTATAGCTTATGTAATTGAGATTTAATGCAAACAATAAATTATTTTGTTAAAAAATTTTGAAAGTCATGAATGAGATGCTTCTTTGCATCAATCTTAGAACTCCATGTTTTCATTCAGTGGAAGATGTAAGCTGACTGGCACCTGAATGGCATTAACATACATTTTATGTCTAGAATGTTCTTACATTTTGTCTTCATTAAAAATTTAGAACCATAATTTTTTTAAACTATAAATTAATATTGGTTGTATTTGACACAAGTCTAAAAACAATGATATACAACAGTAATAACACTGTGAGGACTTTGCTGAGAAGGTTGTACCATGGAATGTAAAAGCAACCGTACTACACATATGAAGAATGGCTTGAGATCACTTCTAGTTAAGTCCAGTTGCAACATTCTTAAAACTCAGGAAAAAGTTGGAATTGAGGAAGACAGCTATATAAGTGGTAAATCTGATGACAGAGAAAGCCACAGTTTGAAAAATTACCTGCATATCTCTTGAATAAATTTAGTGAAAATTTGATATTGAACACCATATCTTATCAATTAAGAAGGAATGTTACTGTTAATCTTTTGATGCCAATATTGGATCCATCATATTGAAATCTTGAAAGCACAAATGACTAACTTAACCAGGAAAGGGACATTCCGGAAGAAAGCAGTAATAGCCATAATTACGTCTGCTACTTAATTTATCATATACATGGAGATGTGAGGCAGCAAATAAATGTCTAATCCTTTTTTCCTCCAACACATGATTCAGTACTTGGGAAAAATTGTAAAAAAATAAATACTAAAAAACTTCCTCCCTCCCCCAAAGGTTGGCATTAAAACTTTCTTTCTAATCAATTTAGATTTGTTTCCAAATATTAGGCAGCAACATTCCAAGTTGAATATGTTTGAAAAAATTTGGCATGATACTAGAGCAGGGAGCTACCCTAGCTTGGACAAGTTAAAAAAAAAAAACCCTTTGGTGACATTATTTTGTTAATTTTGCTTTTTAAAGAAATGCATTCACCCTTTGCATAAACAAGTAACTTCACATCTCTACTGATGAGTATGCTAAAAAATAACAAGTCTAGAGCAAAGAAACAGGAGCTACAGAAAGTGATATCTGTAGCTGTGAATGTAGGAGTAGACATTTTACATGAAATTTCTATTATCTTACTATTGGCCTAATATGCACAATCTGTAAAACAGTGAGTGGTAATTATCTTATAGTCCACTAATTTTTCATTGCATTATCTTGCATGCAATCCAACCTTGACAAACAGGGAAATACTGGTTAAGTTTCCCACACTCAGATAGTAGAATAGGTGTAAGGTGCCAAGGAACTGTACTTACTTTTGGTGTTGGGCAGGAAGCTGTAGAAAGGCGAGATGTAGCCTGAGCACGAGGCGATTCTGAAGGAGTAGTGCTGAGGGAGGCTGTGTCTCGTGGGAGCACCTGAACACCACGAGAAATGATGGAATCTGGAATCTGAACAAGAAAAACAAGGATGGCTTAATATTCTGAAAACACCAACAACACTGAAATCAGTATCAACACCTAACTTTTTTTCTGTGGCATTATTTGCTGCCTAGCTCTCATATATTTGGTGTCACTTACTGTTAGGTATAAATGCCTTTCTGTGAGTTTGGATATAGGTTTCTATCCAACAATTTGTGATAGGACAGAAACCTTCAGATTTAAAATATTTTCCCTGGCCAAATAATATTTCATGGAACTTTTTTATGAGAAGCAGTTTAGCATTATGGTTACGGAGTAAAGTGTTTGGCATTCATATACTGGCTCTGCCACGTAATAGTTATTTAATTCTTAGATATTTTCCATTTTCCTTTCAGATTCTCCACCCTTCTTCATCCTCTCTGCTCTAAACTGACCTGTATAGATAAAATCAATAAGCCAGTCTGTACTGTCTAGTTTCTAGTTGCATTCAGCCAGTGGGAGGCACTGCCAGGAAACTAAAGCATTAGAGGAGATTAAGATCTGGTCTTTATTCCCCTGGCTCCTTTCTACCTGGTCACCGCAGGCTGGCTAAGTCACAGCCCCTGTCAGATGACCCTTGCTTACAGCTCTTTTCTGGATTTCAGTAGGAGTTCCCTGTCTTTGCCCCATTAGGACTAGAGTAGTAAGGGTTCCCAGTATTACTAGTCCCAGGGAACACTGGGACACTGCATTGTGTCTTGTTGCTTTCCTTATAACCTGACCAAACTTTTGTAGGCACTATTGTCCCTTCATTAAACTCTTCTCAATTATCCTTTTAACTATGCTATGACTTCTGCTGGGACACTGACAGCTATAATTTTTAAATCACCATTTCCTTTATCTAAAAAAAATGAAGCTAATGATAGTATCTACCTCACTGGATTACTATTGAGGGTTAAATAAGATACTGTATATAAATTATCTAGCACTTGTAAGTAGTAAATACTTAATGTTTATTATTATTGATATTACACCTATCAACGTGATACTGATGTAACTGAGTGTCACTATTCTAAAAACATATAAACAACATGAATTATTTATTTTAAAAATTACTAATTATGTTGTTTATAAAATTATTATTTTGCAGCATGCATAATTTTGTTCTGGGCTAGTACTAATGGGTTTAGGTTTTCTAATCTCAAAATGAGAACTTGACCACTTTCAAGTTTTGTGCATAAGAGGGGATGTATATGTGATAAAAGGATAAATAATTAACTAATATTCAATCAGCAAGTATCACTTACTATGTGAAAACAAGGAAGCAGCAGCCAGACTTTATGACTGGGAAGGTACTGCTGTTCTTATGTATCATCTGTTTCTCCCAAAGGACATAATACAATTTCCATAGAAGCTCTTTTATTTAGTTTCCATACCAACATCCTCATTATTGATGGTATTGCTACCATGTTAGGGCCTAACATTTTATGTGATTTATAAAGAATATTCCCATAACTAGGGTGAAGGCAATGGGAATTCTGAGAAGAAAAACTGCTCTATCTAATACATTTGAGTACTGAATTGTGATAAATATTTTAAAGAAATGGTGGATAGTCTGGTTTAAAAGAGCTATATGTTGCCACTTATGTCTAATAAAAAAGGCCAAGTATTGGATAGAAAGTCAAAGAAGGCTCCTATTGTACTTCACTTGACAGCATGTTTCTCTACTTCATAGCAATTTCCACATTTATACTATATTTATATGTATACTACATTTAGATGTCTATCTCACATACTAGAATGCACTGTCATGATGAAACTGTGCTTTTGCTACTATTGTATGCCCAATACCTAAGAAAGCATATGCTCAAAGTAGGATGTATGTATGATATATAGATTTCCAGACTCACACACACAAGTATACATATACTACACATCTCTCTATGTGTGTGTGTGTGTGTGTGTGTGTGTGTGTGTGTGTGTGTGTGTGTGAATGTAAACAGAACAGCAGGATATTTCAGGGAAAAGATAAGTTTAAATTTGAAGGACATACTTTGGGGTTAATAGTCTGGAGATACCCAATGAGCTACTAGAAATATGAGCTGGAATGGCTAACATTATAAACTCAGGCAACAACAGATGTTGGCGAGGATGCGGAGAAAGAGGATCTCTTTTGCATTGTTGGTGGCAATGCAAGCTGGTGCAGCCACTCTGGAAAACAGTGTGGAGGTTCCTCAGAAAACTAAAAATAGAACTACCCTATGACCCAGCAATTACACTACTAGGCATTTATCCAAGAGATACAGGTGTGCTGTTTCGAAGGGACACATGCACCCCCACGTTTATAGCAGCACTATCAACAATAGCCAAAGCATGGAAAGAGCCCAAATACCCATCGATGGATGAATGGATACAGAAGATGTGGTAAATACATACAATGGAATATTACTCAGCAATCAAAAAGAATGAAATCTTGCCATTTGCAACTACGTGGATGGAACTGGAGGGTATTATGCTAAGTGAAATTTGTCAGAGAAAGATAAAAATCATATGACTTCACTCATATGAGGACTTTAAGAGACAAAACAGATGAACATAAGGGAAGGGAAACAAAAATAAAAAAACAGGAAGGGGAACAAAACAGAAGAGACTCATAAATACGGAGAACTGAGGGTTACTGGAGGAGTTGTGGGAGGGGTGATGGGCTAAATGGGTAAGGGGCTTTAAGGAATCTACTCCTGAAATCATTGTTTCACTATATGCTAACTAATTTGGTTGTAAATTAAAAAAAATAAAAAATAAAATAAAAAAAAAAGAAATATGAGTCTAGAGCTCAGGAAAAAGTTAAGGATTAGATATATACTTTGGGAGGGGCACCTGGGTGGCTCAGTCAGTTAAACATCTGATTTTGGCTCAGGTCACAATGTCATGGTTTGTGAGTTCGAGCCCCATGTTGGACTCTGTGCTGACAGCTTGGAGCCTGGAGCCTGCTTCAGATTCTGTGCCTCCCTCTCTCTCTGCCTGCCCCCCCCCCCACCCAACTTGTATTCTGTCTCTCTCTCAAAAAAAAATAAACATAAAAAAAAGATATATACTTTGGTAATTATCAATGGAGGTGGTAGTTTCAGCCATGCAAATGTTTCAGATCATCCAAGGACAGTATGTAAAAGAACAAAAGATGATGGCTGATAATTCTAGGTAAGATCCATATTATGGAACTCAGAAGATGGATAACAGAAGAAAAAATTGAGGAGGAAAAAAAAAAGAATCTGTAAATGAAATAATAGTACATCCTATTTTTCCTTGAGTAATCAGGATTTGTATCTATCATACTGGCTCAATATTAAATACCAAATTTTTCATTTTCAAAAGTATTTCAGTTTGGAAGATAAATTATTTGGTTTTCAAATCTTTAAGAAATTGTTAGACACTTAAAAGGAAAATCAAGACAGTGTGAACATAAGGGAAGGGAAGAGAGAAGAAACTTTCAAGGAGATGTTAAAAGATATCAACTATTATAATATGAGTAGGATGAGAGTTGGAAAAAAGCCACTGAGAGCCTGAAAGACTCCACCAAAAAACTGTGAGAACTTATAAATGAATTTAATAAAGGTTCAGGATAAAAATCAGTCTACAGAAATCTGATGCATTTCTATATACACATAATGAAGCAGTAGAGAAAGAAACAAGTAATCAATTAAATTTACAATGGCACCAAAAACAATAAGATACCTAGGAATAAGCTTAACCTGAAGATGTGAAATATAAAACACTGATGAAAGAAACTGGAGATGACACAAAGAAATGGAAAAACAGTCCATCCTCATGAAATGGAAGAACAAATATTGTTAAAACGTCTCTACTATCCAAAGCAATCTACATGTTTAATGCAATCCCTATCAAAATATCACCAGCATTTTTCACACAGCTAGAAAAAACAATCCTAAAATTGGTATGGAATCATAAAAGATCCCGGATAGCCAAAAAGCAACCTTGAAAAAGGAAAACAAAGCTGGAGGTATCACAATTCCAGACTTCAAGTTATATTACAAAGCTGTAGTGACCAAAACAGTATGGTACTGGCACAAAAATAGACAAATCAGTAGAACAGAACAGAAAATCCAAAAATGAACCCACAATTATATGGTCGATTAATCTTTTACAAAGCAGAAAAGAATATTCAATGAGACTTGAAATCATAAAAATCCTAGAAGAGGACACAGCAGTGACCTCTTTGACATGGGCTGTAGCAACTTCTTTGTAGATATATCTCCTGAAGCAAGGGAAACAAAAACAAAAATAAACTACTGGGACAACAGCAAAACTAAAAGGCAACTGACAGAATAGGACATGATATTTATAAATTAAATATCCAATAAAGGGTTAGTATCCAAAATGTATAAAGCATTATAAAACTCAATACCCAAAAAGGAAATAATCCAATTAAAAAATGGGCAGAAGACATGAAAAGACATCTTCTCAAAAAAGACATACAGATGGCCAATAGACACATGAAAAGATGCTCAACATCAGTGATCATCAGGGAAATGCAAATCAAATCTACAATGAAATATTACCTCATACCTGTCAGAATAGTTAAAATCACTAACACAAGAAACAATGGTGTTGGTAAGGATATGGAGAAAGAGGAACCCTCTTGCACTGTCGGTGGGAATGCAAACTGGTGCAGCCACTCTGGCAAAGTATGGAGGTTCCTCAAAAAGTTAAAAATAGAACTACCCTACTATCCAGTGATTGCACTACTAGATATTTACCCAAAGAATACAAAAATACTAATTCAAAAGGACACATGAACCCTGATGTTTACAGCAGCATTACCTACAACAGCCAAACTATGGAAACAGCCCAAGTGTCCATCAACTGATGAATGGATAAAAAAGATGTGGTATATATATACGCGTGTGTGTGTGTGTGTGTGTGTGTGTGTGTGTGTGTGTGTACATTTACATACATAAAAAAGATTTAAATCTTGCCATTTCTAATGATGTAGATGGAGCTAGGGAGTATTATGCTAAGCGAAATAAGTCAGT